GATTCGAACCCGCCACCTTAGGTGTACGTGGCTGGCGCCTTAGCCGGTTGAGCTATAGGCGCCGAGCCAGGAAGTTTATTTTTTCAGAAATTTCTGGCTACTGAATGAAGAGGGAATGACAGATTTCAAATAACACTACTTTACAGTCCCCAAAGAATAGATTTAGGTATTAAACATCAAAAGCTGCTAACATCACAGAAAGAGGGATAGACATATCAGACATTATTTTCCTTTATTATGAAACAATATTGAAGAAAACTTGAACCTAGTCATGCTTCTATATCTACTAATTAACAGAAGTTACAGAAGAGAGAGAAATAGGTCAAAAACACCTGGGTAATGTAAACAGCAAAATCCAGGCTAAGGGAAACAATATAGGACAAATAATAAACCAGTTTCTTTGACAAATAACTTGCAAGGGGAAGAAAAAAGGAGAGAATGAGGGAGGTGAGATAAAGAAGGAACCCCCAGATTAAAGAAGACTAAAGAACTATCATCCCATTCATTGCTGGATGTTGATTGTATATGGATCCTAATTAAAGGAACTGTGATGAAGAAACCATGTAAGAGATGATTAGAAATTTAAGTATCAGGTATTTGATGATATTAAAAAATCATATTTTTAGGTAAGATAATGGTATTGTTATTATTCTAAAAAATGATTTCTTTGAGGAACCGTACTGAAATATTTGTGGATGAAATAATAGAATGACTTGAATTTCATTTCAAAATAATCTTTTTTTTTTTTTAATATTTATTTATTTGGCCGGGGCTGGGTTTGAACCCGCCACCTCTGGTATATGGGACCGGCACCCTACTCTTTGAGCCACAGGTGCCACCCCTCATAATAATCTAAGAAGGGGAAAGAAGGAGGAGATATAGAAGAAACAAGATTGGTATGAGTCAAAATATTGAAGATGCATGGGGACTGACTATATTATTCTCTCTAAATGTTTTTGACAGTTTCTACAATACAAAGTTTTTAGAAAGTGATAGGAATAAAGTTAAACAAAGTGTCCAGAGCTCAGAGGGTCTGGAACACAGGCTGACAGGCTTTAGACTTCTGGAATCCAAGAAGGGTGGCCTTACCTTGTAGAGAACCTGCCAGTCACTGACCTTGGTGTGGGACAACTTCATGCGTTTCAGAATCAGCTACAGTCAGACAAGGTGACAGCCACTGTTTTCCCTCCTCCACTGTAATGCCACTCAGAAACCCAGTTCAATGCCCAATATGGGCCCCTCAACCTCCTCCCCTACCTCCTTGCTCCCCACCCTGGGCTTACAGGCACATTCTTGATATGACCAAGCAGCCGATGCAACATCTGAGCCATGTCCAAATTCTGAGGCAGCAGAAAAAACTGAATGACATCCAGACGGGAATTGAGTTCCCCTAGGTCCTGCGTTGGACGTGTGAACCATAGCCTGGAAGTGAGAGTTGAGGTAGAGGGACTACAAATTACGTCTGTTCTCATCATGGTCTTGATCTCAATTTGCCAAAATGTGTTTGCAGGTCCCTAGGGATTGTGGCAATATGCATCCATAACATGATATCAGAATATACTGATGAGGCAGTGTCCTATCTGTGTGGGTGTGTTTATGTGTATCTACTGAAAATCTCTGGATTTTAGAGCATGATTGTGTGTGTACGTCATGTTTTGTTTTGTTTTTATTGAATGGTAACTATGTACATTAATGCACTTCTGGGGTACAGTGTGGGGTTTTCACATGCAATCTGAAATACTTCCATCAAACTGGTCAACACAGCCTTTATGTCATTTTCTCAGTTATTGCTTTAAAACGTTCACATTCTACTCTGAGAAAGATTCACCTGTACCCCTATAAGATAAACCTCAGAAGTGATCCCTCCAAACCCCCTCCTGTACGTCATGGTTTTGAGAGATTAGACGATGTGTCATTCCATGTGGGTATGTGATGGAACTTGTCAATATTTTAGCGGGAGAGCAGTGTGTTAAAGTATTTGTATGCCAGCACTGCAGCTCTCTGGCTGAGTAGGACAGGGTGAGTCAGTATGCATTTGTATGTCTGTATTTAGCTTTGAAAGTGTCCCTGGGAAATAGCACAAGGATTTGTCTTTTTGTACTCTTTCTATGAAAGTATGTAACTGCCCTATGTGGAATGATAAGCCTTTAATTCATTTTTTTTTTTTTTGAGACAAGAGTCGCACTATATTGCCCTTAGTAGATTGCTATGGCGTCACAGCTCATTGCAACCTCCAACTCTTGGGCTTAAGAGGTTCTCTTGCCTCAGCCTCTCAAGTAGCTGGAACCACAGGCGCCTGCCACAAGGCCTGGCTATTTTTTTGTTGTTGTTGTTGTTGTCGTTGTTGTAGCAGGCCTGGGCCAGGTTCAAACCTGCCAGCCCCAGTGTATGTGGTTGACGCCCTAACCAGTAAGCTACAGGCACTAAGCCAAGCCTTTAATTCACAATGGTCATCCTGCAGAGAAAAAAGAATTGCGGGGGGACATTAAGGGGCTTCAACAATATCTTATTCTTGGCTAGGCACCTGTGGCTCAAGTGGCTAAGGCACCAGCCACATACACCCAAGGTGGCGGATTTGAATCCAGCCCGGGCCCACCAAACAACAATGATGGCTGCAACCAAAAAGCCGGGCGTTGTGGCGGGCGCCTGTGGTCCCAGCTACTTGGGAGGCTGAGGCAAGAGAACCTCTTAAGCCCAAGAGTTGGAGGTTGCTGTGAGCTGAGATGCCACGACACTCTACCTAGGGGAACAGCTTGAGGCTCCTGTCTCAAAAAAAAAAAAAACAATATCTTATTCTTAAGTTGGCCAGTGGATATACAGGATTTATATGTTATTATTAATCTCTCTTTTTTTTTTTTAGACAAAGTCTCACTTATGTTGCCTCAGGATAGAGTGCCCTGGTATCTTACTTAGCTCACAGGAACCTCAAACTCCTGGGCTTAAGCTATCCTCTTTGCCACAGCCTCCTGGGTAGCTTGGACTGCAGGTGTGTGCCACCATGCCCAGCTAATTCTTCTATTTTTATTTTTGGCTGGGGCTGGGTTTGAACCCACCACCTCCAGCATATGGAGCCAGCACCTTACTCCTTTGAGCCATAGGCACCACCCTAATTCTTCTATTTTTAGAGACTGGGGTCTCATTCTGGGTCAGGCTGATCTTGAACTCCTGAGCTCAAGCAATCTATCAGCCTTGGCATCTCAGAGTGCTAGGATTATAGGCATGAGCCACCACGCCTGACCATTAATATCTTTTAGTGTAGGCTAGACACCTATAGCTCAGCGACTAGGGCGCCAGCTGCATACACCAGAGCTGGCGGGTTCAAATTCAGCCCAGGCCTGCCAAACAACAATGACAACTACAACGAAAAAAAAAAAAAAAGCAGGGCACTGTGGCGGGGTGCCTGTGGTCCTAGCTACTTGGGAGGCTAAGGCAAGAGATCACTTAAGCCCAAGAGTTTGAGGTTGCTGTGAGCTATAATGCCACAGCACTCTACCCAGGGCAACATAAGGAGACTGTCTCAAAAAAAAAAAAAAACTCTTTTACTGTGTTAGAGGTATTTCTTAATAAATTAAAATAAATTAGCAGGCTCTGCACCCATAGCTCAGTGGTTAGGGTGCTAGCCACATGCACCAGGGCTGTCAGGTCTGAACTTGGCCTGCTAAACAACACAAAAACAACAACAAAATAGCTGGGCATTGTGGTGGGCACCTGTAGTCCCAGCTACTTGGAATGATGAGGCAAGAGAATCACTTAAGCCAGTGGTTCTCAACTTTCCTAATACTGCAATTTATTTTCATTGTTACAAAAGGGTTGCAACCCACAGGTTGAGAACCGTTGGCTTAAGCCCAAGAGTTTGAGGTTGCTGAGAGCTGTGACACCACAGCACTCTACTGAGAGCAACATAATGAGACTCTGTCTCCAAACAAACAAACAAAAACATTAAATAAATTAGAATATAATAATCATGTCTCATCTATGTTTGTCTAATTCTGGATAGTCCTACCTCCTATGGCTACAAAGAATTTGAGACTCAAGACCAGGCAAGGTGGGCTTGGCACCTGTGGCTCAAGTGGCTAAGGCACCAGCCATGTACACCCAAGGTGGCAGGTTCGAATCCAGCCCGGGCCCACCAAACAACAATGACGGCTGCAACCAAAAAATAGCCGGGCGCTGTGGTGGGCACCTGTGGTCCCAGCTACTCAGGAGGCCGAGATAGGAGACTCGCTTGAGCCCAGGAGTTGGAGGTTGCTGTGAGCTGTGATGCCACAGCACTCTGCCCAGGGGGACAGCTTGAGGCTCCTGTCTCAAAAAAAAAAAAAAAAGACCAGGCGAGATGGCTAACACCCGTAATCCTAGCACTCTGGGAGGCTGAGGCAGGTGGATTGCCTGAGCTCACAGGTTGGAGACCAGCCTGAGCCAGAGACCCCGTCTCTAAAAACAGCCAGGAGTTGTGGTGGGCACATGTAGTCCTAGCTACCTGAGAGGCTGAGGCAAGAAAACTGCTTTAGCTCAAGAGTGGGAGGTTGGCTCGGCGCCTATAGCTCAACCGGCTAAGGCGCCAGCCAC